CCAATGAAGATGTTGAACAGTGTGGGCCCGAGGACCGAGCCCTGCGGAACTCCACTGCCCACATCCCTCCAGGTTGAAAATGACCCAAATGAACCATCCTTTGTTCTGCAATTCTGGTATTAGCTGCTCCTGGTAATATGGCTTCTTTTTCACAGCCCTATAGACTGTTTTTCACTCTGGCTAGAAGCATTAACTCAGGTATGAAAATGTTAACTCAGGTGAACATGAACTCAGATGTGGGAATAATTTTCAGTGAGGCACTGGATGCGCTGTCAAGATGTTCAAGAAGCTAGATTTTGTTTCTGAATCTTAAAAAGAGATACAGATTTAATTTTAATGACTATAGGACTAATGAAACAACATCTTTCAATTATTTTGCCTAGTTCATTGTGTTTTTATATGTAATATATGGTATATCAAATTACTGCACATTCCAGTATTTTTTTTCATTTGCTTTGATCTTAAACTGAATAATGTAGCCCTAGGGCCCTACCTTATTAGTAAAGCTTCTAGTTTCTTTTTAACTGGGGACAAAAGATGTGTTGTGTTATATGTGGTGATGCACCACACCATCTGATCCCCTCCTTTTTCATAATACTAGATCTGCCCAGGTCCATCCCTTGCACTCTCTTGGCTTTCAATGGTTTCTCTTGGGTTCTCATGGAGTCCCATGAACCAGGAGAAAAACATACTTGCTACTTTTCACCAAAAACAATTGCTAACTGGAGCCAACTTGGCAATTCTCAGCCAAGCAGAAAAGGGCTGCATTGCATCAATTACTGTCTCCAATGTCTTGTCTGCAGCATTTGTCTGATACTGCCATGGATCAGTGATGATCAGTGATGACTGAATACTTAGCCAGACTGGTTCATACAACACCTCAAATCACCACAAAATTCTGGCTATCACTTAAACCCTGTTTGTGAAGCACAAAAATTAGAGTAAAGAAAATAACCTGGGCAGAGACCAAAAGTAAGAATCAGCACAGGGCTTCTATTTTTCAACTCAGTCATATGTGAGCCCAGTGAGCCACCCCACATCTGCTGGACAAGGGGGACTAGAACAGCTACTAGCCTGGCAGCTCCTTTACTTACATTTGTAATGCTGGAAGTGTACTAGCCGGAGCAGTCATATGATGCACAGTAGGTGGGAATCCTCCAGTCTGTCCCCAGAGATTGGATGGCATCCCAGGGGGCCAAACAGAGTAGCCAGCAGGTGGCAGCTGTGCAGGAATGGAGTGCATTGCTTGTGGAGAGTAGTGGTGATGGTGATGTACTGTTGAGGGCCTCGGCCTTTCAGCTCTCACAACAATTGGAGCAGCAAACTGTGGATCCTCAATTTAGAGACAAAAATAATGGTTCTGTTAAATTTTTGCTCCTCAGAGGAGGAGAGAACATGAGGGCCTGTTCTGGACTGACTGAGTGCTAGCATGGAGTGCTCTTTCGGGACACTTCCCTGGCCTGGGCTCGAGGTCCAGGTGACTATGATATTATAATTCTAGCGAACCACTGGTGACTCTAAATCCCATGCCGATATTCAGAAGCATGCAGTACCCATTGCCAACAATGTATTTCACCTCCCCATCCCAGAAAAATGTGGGGAGGGGGGAGGACAAGGACAAATCAGCATCTCAGGAGAACTTAAAGAGCAAGGGATCTGGTGTGTTTGTTCTTTTGATACTGTCCCTTTTAGGTGCAAGATCCTGAGCAGTTTGGAGATGTCACTATTTCATTTTATTTAGCTGCAAATGAGTCTATTGCCCTTCTCATAGCCATGATTTCCCTCCTGTAGCTTTCTAAGAGCTAGAAATTAGCAGGGTGAAGACACAAATATGCAGTGACTGAAATCCTAGGTTATAGGCACCAAAGTCTGAGGAGGATACAGTGAAGGTCAAATAGTATGTGCAGAGTCAGAGTGAGTCTATCCTGCAGTGCTGGGGTGCTCTTAACACATTGCTCCCCTATCTAACCATGCTGCAGCATCCTCTGAATGCTTTGGTTTTTCTCTTCTACTCTGAGCACAGGTTTTACTATAAGGGGGAGAACTGTTTCTCCCATGTCCGGAGTAAAGCTGGACACAGCTCTGAACTACAGGACAAACAGCATCCTGAAATATCTCCACAACAAATCTGACCTAGAACAGTTGTAGTGTAAGAGATTAATGACCTCTCAAGAGTGATATGCTTCCCAGTTGGCAGTGACTGAAGTTGGCTTCCTTAGAGCTTTCAGTGCCCTGAAATATGAAAGCCAACAGCTGTTCTTGAACACTTTTATTATGTCTGTAGACATGTGGGCTGAACAGGTGGAGAAAGTAATAGATCCCTCAGGCCAAGGTGATCAGGTATGCAGTAGTATTGTGTTTCTTTTGAAATCAATGAATATGAGTTTCTTGCATCCTTTATTATGCCTGCCTCTAAGGAAGATATTACCAAGTGAGTGTTTCAAATGCAGGTGTCCGTGAAAGATCCTCCAGTACTCAGCAGCTCTCTCAGAACACTGGTGTGGAAAATATTCTGCTTCTCAGTGGGAATTGGATATCTAAGGTGCTTTTGAAAATGTGTGGGACCTAGATGTCTTAAAAAACTCTGGCCATTAGCTGCCTAATACCCTCTGACCTTCAATGAAATGAATGGTTCTAAGTCACTCAGTTTCTTTTGAAAATGCTACACTGTCTCTTCCCATATGCGTGTGCACCACCTGGCTTAAGGCAACTCTGATCCTGACCAGTCACCATTATAACACTGGGTACTTCAGCTGCAGTCCACCTTACAGTACCAGGTTCAACGTGACTAAATTATGGGTTTTCTAAAAATAAATGTCGAGGGAACTGAAGATCTGTGGAAATATTTCTGTGTCTACTATAAATGCACTTACATCTACCAAAGACTTCCCACCTTTGGTCAGAATCAGGGACCCCGAGCACATTTTAAGACTTGTGGAGTGGGCACTTGGGAAATGAGTTCTTCCCTGACTTTTTTGTTTCTAGTTCAGGCAAACAATCCAGCTATGTTCATAGAGCTGGATTATGCCCAGCCCTACATGGATACTCAAGAAGTTTCCTGTTATTTCCCTATGCTTTGCTAAACACAGTCTCCTCCATCTGATAAATATTTGATAAGGAGGAGGAGGTAGGTCATGACACTGGATCGTATTGCTGGCAAGCTGTATATTGGAGGGAGCATGGCACGTGTTCTAGTAAGGAATAATTTAGCGGCCACATCCCTCTTTCACATAGGAGAGATCCAGTAAACATGACTGGGGTAGTTCAGTGCCACTCTGCAGAATCTAAAGGGTACAAGGTAGCCACAAAACTTAGGAATCCATAATGCAATTTCATTAAGAAGATGCATGTAGGCCCAGGCATCCCTAGTGTCTCTCATCCATTTGTATCTCTCGAATGTTGGCCTATACACTTAGATCTGCTACACAGTTTGGAGGCATCAGTTGCTGCCTGAGCAAGAAGACCCTTTGCAACTATAAGTGTCATTACCTGCTGAGTGTGCGGAAGAGCAGGAGCACTGGTCCCAGTGGGCTGGGAGAATGCCACCGGCGGCAGAGCTTTCAGCATCATGTTCTGCATAATGATCTGGTGCATCTGAGCATTCTGCATTAGCATCATTTCCACCATGTCTGGGGAAAGTAACATCATTGTCAGTAAGAGGCAGAGAGCAAAGGGCATGTCATTGTGTTATGTCCTTCAGTAGGAGGTGCCAGGGGCTCTTAAATTCATTAAAGCAGTTCACAGGGGCTTTTGAAAAGGCCTTTCATACTCAGCAGTGTCCAAATATACTTCCACCTGTTTGGCCAAAGATTGTCCTTTGTGCCAGTTACTTATGAGAATGTTTGAGGCTCAAACCGTATGCAGGCTCCCAGGCCAGCTTGGCTTTATCTTCTTTCTTCTTCAGCGAAACCCTCAGGGCTTCCTAAAATGAAAGACCCTTCTCTGCTTTCAGATTTTGTTACCAACTTGCAGCTCTGGGTAGGGTCAGTGATAGGCTGCTGGGGAACTGCAAACCAAGTCTATCTCGTGCTAATCTCAGTTGACACTTTATTACACTATACATGGTGTATACCTCAAATAGACATGGTGTATACCTCAGACAGTTTCCAGTGGGGGCAGATTCCCAAGATACAGATCCAAACCAACCAAAACTCTGTATATGCAGGGCCCAAGGCACTCCAGGTGTTTATGTGGAAGCTGTTTGAATAGACTGGCAGACCTGAGAGTTTTATAAGTAGGGACCTACCCAAATCACAATTGTGCAGATTTCACAAAAGTCATGAAATCAGGCGATTTCTGCAAAAACCACAGAACCCTCTCCCCACCCCCCAAAAAAGAATTACTAAAAGTAAAATGCTGGCTCCCTAGTGGGAGCCAGCTGTCCTTCCAGCCATTGTGGTCTGCTGGGTGGAAGAGAGGAGAGGAACTGCCAGCACAAAGGGCTGCCACCCTTTCCTCTCACCACTGATTGGTTGAGAGGGCTGCCTGTCACGTGGCTCCATCCTTCTCCAGACAGCAGGAAGGGATGGGGCCATATGATGGGCAGCCCTCTCAACTAATCAGCAGTGGGTGGCAGGGTCAGTTGGGCCCCACGGCCAACCAGAGGCATGGGGGGGGGCGTCACCATGATAAGCCCTCGAAAATGGCAGCTGGCCTCACGATTTGCCCACAAAATTTGTCGGCCCCCTCCTCGAGCTGGGTAGACCCTTATTTGTAAGGTACATGTACAAATTCTTGGTCTTTCTGTGACTGAAACATATTACAAACCTGCATTCAAACTTCTGCATCACTGGATTAATGCCATCTGGACCATCAGTGCATGGATACATTACTGTGTACACCAGTAACGAAAAGTAAAACTGAAAATGTTCTCAAAATCCAGAGAGATTGGAGGAGATAACGGCATAGTAGGCCACTACCTGCAGTTATGGGCAGATTGTGTCCTGAATTTTATTTTCCCAGTTAGACCAGAGAGTTCAGTTCAGATTCAGTTTGAGAAGCCAAATGAAACAGTTTCTGCTGGGCTGGGCTAACCTTCCTGCTTACATGACAAAGAAGCAGCCAACGGGGATGTGAAAGGATACGATGAAATTTCCATTATGTGACATCCTCAAAACCCAACCTCCTATTCAGAACATGCCACCAACTGTGTGGCCCATTTAATTTTGTGGGAATGGAGGCAGATAAAATAGTCTACAGGAAATTTCTATGAGTACTTTGCAAGAACAAATGAACACTTTTGGGTTCTAGACATAGTTCACATGTAAGCCAAAGACTTGCCAGTTTTACAGATTTAAATCTCTTTCCAGGGCTCTAGTAAGAACCCCTAAAAAATAAAACAAAAAACCACTAAACTAATCCGTGTCTATTCCTGAAGCCCAAGCCACTGAGTGACACATAGCTCCAGTAGAAGTTTGCTTCTGAGACATTCAACCATATCATGAAAATGAGCATTATCTCCTCACAGGTTGGCTTCAAAGGGACACATTTTTGAACACCAAGCACTTCAGTCATTAGAAAATAATCACACTTTTTAGAGGACACTTGCAGAGATAGAGGGAAGGAAAAGGAAATGTGAATATCTTAACCACCTGAAATGCTTGAACACTTTCCCCATATTTAAGGTTGTTAAATAGCCACATTGAGATTCCATTCCATGTAGATATGATAAGTATTCAGTTGTATACACTAACTTTGGTTGGATCTTCATAGTACCTACCTAACAAAACTAATTTAATTGCAATCATAATTGTAGCAACAAGTTTTTTGTAGTTTTTTCCCCCATTCAATTGCATGTGTAGAGCCTGATGTAACTACATCAACAGGGAGTCCATTATGAACTTGGTCATGTCATTTTGTTTGAAAAAATAAATTGATCCCAATAAACTAAGCCGTGAATGCCCATGCAGTGGTGTTGCTCCTTCATTTCTTTGTTCATTTACATTTAGAAATGCAGGAGGATTTTGTTTGTTGGCACAGTGCTGCATTCAGAGTAGCACTTCCACCTCTCCCGAGTCCTGTTCCTAACTTCATGACATTCATGCATGAGATAAAATGAAAGTTTATGTTATGCTAAGGGGAACTGATAGGGTTTTTTTTTGTTTTTAACTATTAATTCATATTGGAAATATTTGTGTAGAAGCTTGAGCTGCAAAGACTAGATTCTATTGTAGCGATCTTAGGGTAAAATGGCAGTTTATACAAAAGAAGATTCATTAAGAGGGATTTAAAGAATTGGGCAGAGTGGGATAGAATCACCCTTAGGTGTTTAAGTCCACTTAAGTGCCTAATGGGTGGAACAGAATCTGGCCCAAGTGTTCACATTAATATTATCAAGTATTATCCCTTAGGCTCTTCTGTTAATCCCAAACTTCTCGGCAGCTTATCTTCTTGCCGAATGTGTACTTCCTTTCATTTTGGAAGAGAGAATGGGCTGTAGTGATTTGAATTACTCTAAAGCTCCTCTTTGAGATGGCACAAGAGACTGTGGTCTGCAATCCCAGAACTTCACTGACAGCCTAGTTATGGTATGCAATAGGGTAATTTGAACATTGTCTCAAGTCACCATAGTTATACTACTTTCTTGAGCTCCCAGTGATCTTGGATCATTTAACGAACCCAGCACGCAGACTGGGGAGAGACTTACCTTCTTTAATGCTTCCAGAGCGGGGGGCAGGCAGTGGCTGGGGAGAAGGGATCTGTGTGATGAGAGGTGGCTGCTGAGGTAACTGTTGGATGATGGTTGCAGGTTGTTGAGGTACCTAGCAATTAAAGGACAGCAAGAGGAGTCAGGGTCCCATTGGTCTGTAGTCCTTGGCTATCTGGGCCACTCCATTTTGGTTTCTGAGCTAAAACAGTAAATGAACTACATGCTGTGCAGTGCAGATCTGACTCCAGGATCTCTAAGAACTAGGATAGTCCACATGTCCAGCTACGAGTCTGCAAGCTCCATGCTCAGCCTCATTGTACTAGTTATAAGATAGGGTGAGCTGAAACTGTGCACCACAGGCAAACATTTAACATCAGAATTGAGCACAACTCCTCTCTAAGACCTTACTCCAGTCATTGCTATTGGGGAACTACACTGAAGCAACCCCTTGGGGTAGCTGGCTCAGCCACTCTTTGCAGTGGTGAAGCTTCAGTGGTCCCTTGGAAAGGTGCAGATCACTAACCATAGCAGTTCTGAGTGAGGTACACTAGAGCTTGCCCTAGCACAGGACATCATTTATTGAAACCTTAGTGCAGACAAGGCTGGAGCCTTTTTAAAAGACCTTTCTCCTGCAACAAATGACCAGATGCAGATGAGTCACAAGCAGAAATGAAACAAGATTTAGTTACATATTGTCACAAAATGAAATGAAACAAGATTTATCCCTGAAATGAACAAGATTTAGTTACATATTGTCACAAAATGAGAAGCTTATTTGTTGTTCAAGCAATAAAAGGAACAAGAACCAAGACAGTGCAACATTCAGGCTTTATTCCATTCTCCACATGTATAGTCATGTCTCAGCAAGCATTTCCTGGAAGGGGAATTCTCTAACTTCCTAGATATTACTCTACATACGCTATTAGATTTTCATAGCTTCCATTGGAGAACTACCTATTGTGACATCCCTTTTGTCACTTTTCTTTGAAAAAGCTAAATTAAAAGCAAATCCCATGAGTTTATCACATAGTTAACTTTTTTATTACACCTCTTAGAAATCTGTATCTACAGATAGACAGAACATTATCCCTTTTTTAATTCTTCATCTAACTTGTCAGTTGCTTATGAAGCAAGTTATTTTCCTCTGGGTTTGGATAGATTGTTCTTTCATGCCATGATCTTTTACAAAGCTGCAAGTGTTTTGCTGGGTTGAATGTAAGTCTTTCTTGTGATGACAGGAGTCTTGGCAATGTAGTGCTTTGAGAGTCTGCATACATATCTATGTGTCCATCACCAGTCAGCAATCCTTCTATGCCCTATTGATTAAGTCTCTTCAAGAGTACATATTTCACCATTCTCCGTGTCCATTTTTTTGTCTTGTATTTGTAGTAGGCATATTTATTTCCAGTTTCAGTAAAATACAGACATCCACCACTACATAATATGAATAAGGATGTATCTGTTCAATACTTTGAGTTTATTTCAAAGTGCATGATTTTTTTGAAGGAAACAACATGATTCTGACAATGTCATTAATTCTGGGTGGCCTGTAGCTTTTCAGTTATGGTTGGCTTTGGCCTTTACGTATACTGTAATTCTTCCCCTGATGCCAGATGTAGTCATACAGGAATAAAAGTAACAATACATGGGTTGTAATTGACACCCAGTGCTGTACTTGAATGGTCAAAGGTCTGGAGTGGACAAGACACTCCCACAAAAGAATGGCTTGCTTTGCTTTTTGCAGCTTTCATTAATAAAATCTTAGCAAATTTAACAGTTGATTCAGTGTTGCCACCTCATGAAAGGTGATGTGGAATGATGTGATTTGAGGGAATTCTTATTTCCATGTAGATTGTTCAAACACATTGGAACTAAACTGGAATCTGCAGTCTGAAACAATTGGAGTCTGTGATACCCTGCCTGCTGTAATGCACCACTGTCTGACAGTTCATCTTGCTCCCAGACATTGAAACGGTAGTTTACAATAATAAAGTAGTCTGTGGTGTTTGTAATAGCAAAGTTCATTCTTACTTAGCTTCAAGGTCCATTGCAAATAATATATATTTTCCAACTCTTGTTTTACTACCTGGTTTGCTTTTTTCCCCATAACCCATGTCTGCTGACCAAGTCTCAGACATTCGTGATCAAGTTTGACCAATGTATGACCCTTCTGATTTTCTGGGCATTAGAATCATTCTGGGTAGAAGTACACATATTTTTTAAAATTTCTGGTCTAAGTGACATATGTTGGAGTGATGTTACGGCTATGATAGTTCAGAAAATATGTAAGACGCAAGGATTTTTGGGGGTGATATCCTTTTTTGGGCCATGTAACATCTCTCTCAACTATACAGTTGGTCCCATAAAAGATATCACACCCCCAAAATCCTTGCCACCATGACAGAGATATTATGACCTGACTTCCTTTATACATGAAGCACACTCTTCTCAACTCAGTAGTCCCACTGCTCTTTAAAGACTTTTTAGAGGCTTTTCCCTGGCTGCCTGGGCATCTTACCATTCATTAGTGGTGGCAACTGTGACTTGTTACCCATATAGCATTATTTTTGTTAGAATGATACCCAAGCCCCATCCTTTTAACAGTAAAGCTGTCTCTTCATTCATAATTATATCATAATATTTCAGCTCCTTGCTATATATAATGCTTGCATCTTGTTGAGTTATGTCCATATGTGACAGGGCACTTGGCATACCTGTCACTTTGAGAGAAAAGGCTGATGGAGAAACAGCCTGCAGGTGTGGGAGGAGCCAACTACAAAGTCACCTGAATAGAAGGGGGCCAGGCTTGAGGCATATAAGCCCAAGGCCTGAGCTGCTCAGGGAGTTTAGCCCTGGGAGCCAGAGGGAGAAGAGATCTGGGCAGTAGGGCTGCTCTTAGTAACAGAGCTGGGGTAAGCAGCACAGAGCCCAGGAACAGGGACAGGTGAGCCCATAGCCTGGAAAGGAAGGCCTTGGAAGAGATAGGCCTGGGAACAGGGGAAGGGGAGCCTGTAGCCTGGAAAGGGGCAGAGGCAGGGCACAGTAGCCCAGGGATTGGGGCCAAACAGCCCAGAGATTAGGGCCAGAGGTCTGTAACCCAGGAGGGGCAGTTGTCAGCAGGGCCTGGGAGCCCAAAGGGGGCTTCAGAGAGAGGCTGAAAGCTAAGGAGTGCCACAGCTGGAGATGGGCAGGGCAAGGGGAGCCCAGGAGTCTCAACTGACCTAGGAGTGGGGACAGGGTCTAGAGAGAGGGGCCAAAGACCACAGGTTATAGCTGGAGACCAGGGGGGGCAAGCAGCTCGTAGCCCAGGAGGGGCTTGTCAACAGAAAGGAGTACCATCTGTGAGGCATGGATGTGGTGTAAAGGGGACATTGGAATTATGTTATTAGCCCTTAAGGCAATGATCACAGATACCTGGGATCATAAGCATGAGATCAGGCTTGGGAAGCCTTGGGCAGCTTCCCTTTCCTAAAAGTATCATTTTATCAAAATTAAAGGGGAGTTTACCCAGAGAAGCCCAAGGAAGAAAAGGCTGAGTGGCCACCAGGGGGCATTAGGACCATCCTGGGATGAGCACTTGTTACACCATACTAGGTTTATTCAGTAGTTGCATATTGGTAGACTTCCCATCCCCGCCCACCCCTGCCTCTTCTTTCCCCCTCCCCCACCAATTACTGAGCAACAGCTGGAGGCAGGGTAGGAAGAGCACTGCTGTGCAATCACTTGCATGTGCATGTATGCATGCACATCCCCTGACCATGGTGCCCTGAGTAGTTGCTAATGTCACCCACCCCTAAGGCAATCAATCACAATTTTCTCTTGCGTTTTTCAATTTTAAATAGATTTCCCTGTGTCCAAGGGATTTATTCACACATGTCATAATGTGTTCTCTGCTCTGGCTATATTCTTTTGCTTTCCTTTATTGTACAAATCATTCCAGAATTAGCATCTCTAGGCTCAAGACCTCATTTCATAGTTTCATAGTTTATAGGGTCGGAAGGGACCTTCGCAGATCATCTAGTTTGACCCCCTGCCATGGCAGGAAGAGCACTGGGGTCAAATGACCTCAACAAGGTGGTCATCCAACCTCCTCTTAAAAACCCCCAGGGTGGGAGCCTGCACCACCTCACTTGGAAGCTGGTT